TACATATATATAAATATACATACATATACATATATTGCCACTACTACTAGACCAGTATACTCACAGCCCTATTCACTCAATCAAATCCTATGCCTACCCAACCGCACTCATTCTACACCAGGCCTATAACATACCAGAGAGCGTTCCGTATCGATTGGCTTGAGGCCAGTGGTGCCACTCACTGATTGTACTACGTCAAAAAATTCGTCCATCTCCATTGTCCCACTGTCATCGCGATCAATCACTTGGAATGCGATGTGGAATGCCTTCTGCGGAGTCGCGAGTAGAGCACGGAGTAATACATACTCGGAGTACTCGATAAGCGCGTGACTGCCGAACAGGACTGAGGTAAACAAATATAGATCGAGTTGTGTGAGATCTACATCATCTCCAAATATACATGCATGTATACGACTTATAACTGATCCACCTCCACCCCATACCTGATGCCTGTTGAGACTTCGTGGGGGAGTACTCTCTCTGCAGATGCTCTATGGAGAGTTTACGGTATTGGTCCAAGCGTAAACCATCGGGCTGAGTGGGCCCACCCGCACACACGGAGCGCAGGAAGTCGTCTGTGGTCATGTACACTTTACCGTCACTGGAGATGGTGGCGAAGTAACGGAATACCTACGTAACGATAGAATAATGTGTGTGTATATAAAGCAGCAGGCAGACATCGAGATATGCAGGGGTGTACTATACTCTGATGTCGGTTAGTGCTCTGATACGGACGCATGATGGTCGTCGTATATTGGACCGGGAGGGTTTAACCCCACCCACTAATCGCAGCAGATCAACAATGCACAGGTACACTTGCCCGTCGCTGGATATGGTGGTGAAGTAGCGGAATGGCTTTGGGAAGATATAATGCGTTCAATATATACATCATGGATAAATCCATACATGAATGTATTTTATGTATGTACGTATGTATGTACGTAAGTATGTATGTATATATGTATGTATATATATATGTATGTATGTATGTATGTATGCATGTATGTATGTATGTATGTACGTGTGTATGTATGTATGTATGTATGTATGTATGTATGTATGTATGTATGTTTGTATGTATGTTTGTATGTATGTATGCATGTATGTATGTATGTATGGATATATGAATGTTTATATGTAAGTATGTAAGTAAGTAAGCAAGTAGCAAGTAGATATATGATCGACTGATTATTTATGTACGCATGTATGTACGTATGTATGAATGAATGAATGTATGAATATACTAAAACCCTACAACGTTTGTAGAAACCGAACGACTGTAGATGAAGTTAACAACGGCTGCGATATAATGCATACATGGATATAGTCGGATACAGCCCATGTGCTCGTGCACCCAAGAACCACTTCGTAAACCAGAACAGAGGTGAACAGGTTCTATAGCGTGTGTGGACGAGAAAATAGACACAATGAAGATAGCTGAGAAGTATGCACAGACAGATACAATCGACAAAATGATATCATACCAGAACAACCACGAACACCCACTGAACCAACACAAATTCCCACTGAACCAACACAAACACCCATCGAACAACCACAAAAACCCACTGAACAACCACGAATACCCACTGAACCAACACAAACACCCACTGGACCAACACGAACAGCCACTGAACAACCACGAACATCCACTGAACCAACACAAACACCCACT